CCAAAACAAAATACCGCCCTTGATCGACCGTCAAGAGAACCCTTGAAACTCCCAAGTTTTCGAACCTACTCGCAGGCTTTCTTTCCGAATTCCGATTTCTTTCCAATAGCCAGGAAGAAATCACGGATTCATCGTCCCCCCGTCTCTCGAACCGTTCTTTCTAACAGTCGCCCACGTGCAAAGGAGCTCATCAGAAAAACCTATTTAGCTGAATTGCAGGGATATTTATATGCCCCTATTTACATCTTGAGCTACGTTACAAATATATCTGACTATGCAAACATGTCGATGAATAGTGTTTATAAAAACACTCTCGATCCCTCGGCCATAATTTTACATTGTATGAGAGACAGATCCGGCGTTTAAAAAAAATCTGAATTAAAGAAATCTGTCTCTTCCCGAAATCAGAATATGTATTACCTACCATACATTGCTTTCGCTAGGTATTACATCGCGACTTGTGAAATAACACTGCGATAGATATTGCAGAAAACCAAAAAGTTTTTTCTCATTTATCTGTGTTTGAAATTATTCAAGGAGATTTTCTAACCGAATTCTCTCATTGTAGGCTCACCAACCATGCCACCCTAACCACGTACAGTTCCCCGAAGTAACAATGCCATCGGATCAACCCTTCTGTCATCTCAACAAAAGCCGGACAAAAAACGCGACTCGTCTAGAGCCGGGGCTCATTTGATGAAAAATGCTCAGCGATAACGAGCCACAAAGACTTCATTTTCTCATAATCAATCACCGCGACGAAGGAGTGATCGAAAGGGACGACCTCGTATAAGTGCGGAATATGCCGGGATTAGTCGTTTTTCGAAGAAGATGGAGCGTTGGATCCGACGATCTGGTTGTTCCCGGCGCTTTCCTGTTCTCCGTGCACCTCATTTGGTAAGTAGAAACTTTTTTTTGGGAGTGACTGTTCGTCAATGGATGCGGCAATGGCGGGAGNGAAACTGTGGTAGTTACAAAATAGATTACCTTAGAAATAAGTTGTTTATTTCTCAACTTAACTGAATGACAATAGTTCGCTTGAATTTTTTGACGTTATTCAGAAAGAAATCAGAACACAAAACCACTTTCTTATTGTTACCTTTTTAGCTGTTCCAGATGGCGTTCACAGATTTCAAATCCAACGTTTCGTCTCCGAGAAGCTTTCATCAGTTTCATTTTCCATGATTTAAAAAAAATCAATTGAACAAGCTTCAAACTTCGTAACTTAACAGACTCTACAAATCATAAGGTTTCTGATTTTCCCATGTTGGGCCTCTTAATCTTTGGACACACCGTATAATAACTCAAACTCAACTTTATATATAGTTTACATGAAAAGTGATATCATTTTCGATCTACATCGATAAATAATTATTTCATGGAATATCGATTTAACCAAACCAAGTATTCAATATATTCCAATCTTTATCTGAGTGGTGATTCAATACCACTCATGTGGAATAACCTTGACGATTATTTATTGTGAATGTGAAAATTACATTGTGGTCAAGTTTATTTGATTACCGAACAATTGACATTTCGCCTACTCATTTTGAGAGGTCACACAGATTGAACGAGCGTATTCAGCATTTGCTGCAATTGACATTCATCGCATATACGAGGTCTGTTAAAAAAATTAGTTAATAATAATAATGTATTTCCTCATCACAATAAAAAGTACAAATTAAATTTAATTCAAAGAAACGATGAATAGGCCGAGTTCAGCTATGAGAGCTGCTTTTAAACCCAACCTCGATTGATATGTTTTTTATTATGTTTTTATAATATTCGGATATGTGAGAAATTGCCAAAATATGTTTGCATATGTCGTGCCCTATCACTGTCGTGTAAGAAACATGCCTTTCAACCTTTTCTTAAAGTTTCTCATTGAACTTTCTTTAAAGTTTTTGGGGATGGTGTTATACAACTTTGCCGCATTGTAGGAGAAACTTCGAGGAAACATTACTGTGGAATGCCTGGGAATGAGCAAAGTATGCCTATTACGAAAAGTGTCACTGTGTAATAGTGCAAGCAGACTTTCACGTAAGTAAGGAGGATATCCCGAAACAAGAATTATATGCGTGAAACTAAGCAAATGGATTGCTCTTAGATAGTTCAGTGAAATCCAGCCAGAATCTCGAAAGGACAGACTTATATGTGATAATACTTTCGGATACCGTAGCAAAATCTGACACAACTATTTTGTACACGCTGGAGTCGCATTACATCTAATTGTTGTAAGGCGGGTCCGTAGATACAATCGCAGTAAGCTAATCTTGAAAAAACAAGTGTTTCATAGAGACTCAACTTCAGACTCAACGTCATTGAATGACGTTTTACACAGATGACTTACATGCTTCGTGAATCTCAAGTTCGTATCTAATCACAAGCCCAGTTTTTTACATTCATTCACAAAAGGTATTATGTTATTTTTGACACGGAACGACAATGACTCACATACAATATTTCTTTTACTTTTGGGACCAAATAACATGACCTGGGATTTCTTTGGATTGATGGTAAGATTATGTGCACAGGATACATCGTATAGAGTTTTAAGGTTTCTGTTTATATTTTCGTTATCGCGTGTAATATCTTCAAGGCTGAATGAACTGTACAATTGAGTATCATAGGCGTAGTGATGTATTTTACCAAAACTAACAAATTCATGAAAGTCACTGATGTAAATTGCAAAAAGGTGCGGTCGCAGGACTGAACCTTGCGGTACATCAAATTTTTTTGATATTATTGTTGATTGGTTACCATCAAGGTGAGTTGATTGGTTCCTTTCGAAGAGATAGGTATTCATAAGTGATACTGCATTATGAGTGTATGTTCAAATTTCGCGGTCTATACGTACATTCGATTAGCGATTTTTTTCAAACGCTACATTCCCCTCGAACACAATTTGAGTTGTATTTGCTCAAAAGGTCCATAACTGGTGATAAATCATGGGTCTATAGTTGTGACATCGAAACTAAAGTCCAATCCTACCAATGGAAAAGCTCAGGAGAGCCAACACCAAAAAAATCACGCCACATGGTCGTATGGTTAATATGATTATTGAAGTGTTGAACCTAGTAAACGTAATAAATGCTTAATGAAATCAAAACTGAAAGAATATGTGAACCAAAATTATATAAAACTAAAAACCGAATACGAACTCGAATAATAATAAGAAAAACAAAATTTCAGCAATTTCAGTAATTTATTCATTCAATAACACATTTGTAACACACTTATCTCGCGGAATATATAGGTTACACCTAGGTATGAAAAATACCTTTATTGTGCTTTCCCATCTATTCAGCAGGATTACAAATCATGTAGGTACATCTCAAAACATAAAATGGATTTGCTTAATAAATACAATGAGTTAAATCGGATGGCAGTACAATTCTAATGGATTTAGTGAGTTGTTGGCCGGAGAGCTAGGAAGAGCTGTATTTCAAATTTAAAATATATTGATAGGTGAATGATAGTAATGGTGAACAGTATTGGTCGAGTGTACCAATTTAATCGAAATTAAACGACCTCATGCATTTATTTTTATGATATTTAGTATGTTATAAAAATATCCCTAGACTTTTCCGATGTGTGTATTTTACAAACGGATTGGGTTTCTTTGTATATAACTTTTCAAGGCAGTTTTAAATTTTCTTATACCATTTATAGTTTTCAGGTTTTCAGGGAGAAGGTTGAAAAATACAATAAATAACCATATTCTCCTTCCCTCACAATTAATTCAACTTTGTTTTTTTCCTTCTATGTAAATAATCAATGTAATCCAGGTTGATGACTACAACACAAGCATTGCTTAGGTAGCTCAGCCAGGACTCACAATTTCCAGTTTTAGTTAGTTCTTTTCTTTTTTTTTCTAGTTTCTCAAGTCATCTAGTTTTAATTCAGAATTCATATTGTGGAGTATGCTTACCTGAATACAATACTTTATATATCGTGCATGAATATTTGGGTACACGAAAGCTCTGCCAATGCATCGTGTCACAAATTAATGAAAACGATGGCAAAATTGCATGAATTAAACTGCGAATTTACTCCTCCTCCTCCATTTTCTTCAGATCTGGCCCCCAGCGATTTTCTCCCGTTCTAAGACCTCAAAAACTGCTTGCTGAAAAGAAATTTCAGCGCCGATAAAGAAGTTATCGTCGAAACTGATGCCTATTTTGTGGCTAAAGACAAATCGTATTACAAAAATCGTATCGAAAAATTGTTTGATCGTTGTATCGCCCTCAAAGACAACTGTATTGAATGATAAAATCAAATTTTATAAAAAACATTTTTTGCACCAACTTTTCAGCCTAACTGTTAATGTTCACCAGTCATACCTTCATAATGTCACACATTATACCTGTTTTATGAAATCCGTCTGAGGAGACCGCTACTGTGACATCTCTCTTCATTTTTCCTTGTGTTCACATTTCTAGCAATTAATTTCCTTTCACTTCTACTTTTCTACCATCTTCATATGTTCATCATTCACTTTTCTGGTTCTTTTCGTCTTCCACCATTCGTAAAACTGAAAATTAGTAATGGATAACTGAGAAAAGGGCAAACTTCTAATTCACTCCTATTATTCATTTAGAGCATATTCAACATTGGATATATATAACATAATCTATAATGAGAATCACTTTAATGTGAATGAAGAGTTTTAGGGTACATAAAATCTTTCTAGATCACTGAATTCCGTTCTAAAATTAATACGTTAGGAATTAGAATACTTTGAAATGGTAAATATATTTGTCTCAGAAATTTATAAATATCTAAATTCAAATAGTAAATATGTTGATAACATTTTGAATAAATTTACCAACAACACGATATACGCATAATAATAGGGGTCATCATTATTGATTCTCAATGAATACGGTTACTTTTCAACAATAAACAGTTGTTCATGCCATAATTTCATATTCTCAAAGCCGAAAGTTCATGTCTACCTTTGGTATTCATTTGAATATAATCCTTGGAATACCTATGAATGTATAAAAATAGAAAAATATGTTCCAGAACTATAGAGGGAAATACTGCTTAAATAGGTAAATTTAGCATGTTCTGAATTTTTTTTGCGGAATACTAATTGGGAAAGTATCCAGTCAAGATCTATTGATAATATATTCAGACGATTAACTAACTTGAGTAAAGATATTACTGGTGCTTCACGATTTGATCAAATCGGGAGGTGTAGTTTTTGAAAACAAATGAATTTAATCTTGAACGATTCAAATTCGACGTGAATCACTACACCGCGCTTAAGGATTTTCCTGTAGTGCTTGCGTTTTGTTGAAAAAAGACGAAACTTTTTGATTTACTATTCTTGAATCGAAACCCAACATAATTTAATCATGTCTTGGAGTCAGTTTCGAAAGTGCAGATGACCATTCATCTTTAAGAGTGAGAGATGATCAAGATACGAATCATAAAATGGATATGCTTAATAAATACAATGAGTGAAATCGGATGACAGTACAATTCTAATGGATTTAGTGAGTNGGTTTGCAAAACCACTCACTACCTCACCTATTCCCACGAACACCCGACACTGATAAAGACATATTTTGAAACGAACAAAAAATTAGTATTCAGCCAGTCCAGCTAGCCGAGCCTTTATTCCTCAACTACATTTGATAGCACGTTTACTAACTACCTGGGCGACTAGGGGCCACAGGCAAGAAATGTTTATGACTGTACTCTTATTTTCATTGCCTTTCCGACTGGGAATGGATAGACTATAGTAGCCGGTTCGTTCACCAAGTGATACAACCATATGGAAAATCTTTATTATATGCTCGTTATTTGAATGAAAATATGTTAATTAATTCATACCGGTATCAATGCCATGCATATACTTTTATTTTGCATGATCCAGAAAGGAATCTGTACAGCAACCACCAGACCATGCAACTGCCGCATGAACTCCCCATAAGAGTGACGGGTTTCTTTTTAATATCCATACTCAGCGATGCAACATTTCCATTCCAATCTGGCTCTCCTTCGCCTGTCATTCTCCCCGGGGCCTTTTCCAATTTCTTATTTACGGTGCTGCGCGCGGATGTCGTCCACGCCAGCAGAAATTCGATTTTCTCCTGCCGGGCGGTTTGTTTA